TATAAATTTTCTTAATTTTTTCATATTTTATTTGAATGAAGTGATTTAAGTAGGAGCTAATAGTTCGTGAGGTGGTTGGGAGTCTTTTTAAAATATTTGTGAGAGAACTGTATATTTAATACATTATTTTACCTAGTTTTTTAATATATAAATAACTTTCATGAATATCCTAATATGCCTGGCAAAGAGTTGGCAGTTTAATTTGAAAGGAGCTAATATCATCACTTCTAGTACGTTCTGGTTGTGGAGAGTAAACCGACATTTGCTGAGCCACCTTGCTGTTGCACTGGCAATAGGAGCGTTCTGTTACTTATTGCATGTTAAACCATTAGGAGCTAAGTGGTTTTCATTTTACAAACAAGACAGTTGAGGCTCCTGGAGATAACTTGTTTGCCTAGGACCCTGCAGTTAGGAAGTGACAGAGCGTAGAACCCAGCCCTGGAAAGTCTGGCTGCTTTCCGTTGTACCGTGCCACCTGCACGCATGAAATCTGGTGATATTTGGGGAGTTGACAGGGAGAAAACACGCTTTGAATATGACTTTGTTGTTTCTTTGGTTTTGGTAGGTTACACACAGGCAATTATAATTCAGGCAATTAGGTTTTCAGAGGTGTCTGTGTGTTCTAATGTCCTTTAAATTACTAGCTAGTAAAGTGAATATTTTTTATTTGGATCAGAATATGAGCAGGACTCATCAAGCCTACCATTGACAGAGTAGTGCTAGGCTGGGCCTGTTCAGGTTGTCCCTTGAGTGTGTGGTTTGTAATTAGCCTACATGTGTCATTGAATTTATTATGACTTGGAGCCCTGACTGAGTTTAGGGATCATTTTCCTTGTTTCTTGCTTGGTGTTTATGGCAGGACTACTACTTTTTTTTTTTTTTTTAATAGAATAAGCATATGTCCTGGATTTTACAGAATTTTCCAGAATAATTTCCTGGTTTGGAAGATAAATTATATGGTCACTCTAGATAATATAAAAGAGATTTGGTCGTTATAACTGATCATATTTTGGTTAATATGTTTTCTATAACCTGAAGGAGTTTAATTAGCTGATTTAAATTTGATTTTACCTTCTTTCCTCTTTGTACTTGATCAGATGCAGCAGATAATTTATATATACTTCTCTATTTGGATTAATTCTTCAGTTGTAATTTAATTCATCCAAATACATGAAATAATACCAATTGCATTCTCTGCAAAACTATCAGTAAGACATTACTTTCTGAGAAGGATACCCTCTCTTTTGGGGGGGGGGGATCTGCTCTGTTTCAAAGCACCTGTTGTATTCAAGTTTTGTCTAAATCTGTCCATCATCACTAAGGGACCATTTATACATTCTACAAATATTACTCTCATTATAGAAATAAAATAAAAATTACCAAGGAACCAACCCACATAACTTTTCATAGCTATACCTATTTTATTACTTGTCCCACATTTCTCATTTGAGGTTTTCTTGAACTGTTAACCATGAAAAAAGGCATATATAAATTCAAGTTAAAAAGCTTCATGTTAGCTGAAGAAAAGATTTTTTTTTTTCATGTGTATTCTTCTAAACATGGACTCTGGGCAGTATTCATTTTATTTTGTTGAAGAATTGTTTATGTCTTTAAAAGAAAGAAGAAATATACAAAACTTAAAATGTGTATTTTATTTGGAGCCCTTTTTAAGGAATATATAACTTATTTCCTGAAAGGCTGAAATTCAAGGCTGTGACAGTCTCTCTTCATGACTAGAGTATGAAATTTAGCAGCATCGTATTTTATATCTTTCTACAAACTAAACTGACCTATTTTTGGTTTTATTTTGTTTTTCCTTTTCCAGTCTTTACCAGGTGCTGGTCTCTGGATGTATTTTGTTTAAGTTGGAAAAATCTAAAAACCTACCCACAGACTGGTATAGTATCCAGTGAGAAGGGGACTGTCCACATTGGCATTGGAAGGGGCTAAGGAGGCCTAGGCAGAAGGAGTTGAGAACTCGGCCTTGAGCTAGCATTTCTCTGCTACTTCTCCTGTGGGCAGAACATCTTTTCTAGTTTACCAGCTCTTCTAGAAAAGTTAGGGGTTAGGCCCAGCATGGGAATTTCAACCAGTTTGAGCATTCAACAGGGAGCAGAATATGGCTTAGATACCTGCCTTGCATACATCATATTTGACAATGAGAAACAATGTAATTGATGTTAGTAGCAGTGCTTCCTAGTGATCAAGGAAGGAAGTGCTTGTTTGGTTTCTGAGCACTTTGTTCTCTGGAAAAATAAGCTGCTACAGCAGCCACTACGACACATAACCCACCTCACCTCCCCCTAAACAAAAACAAAACACCCTGGATGTTTTTCTTTCCTTTCTTTGGGAAACATGGTAAGCTACTGCCATTGAGAAGAGCGATACCTTCTGACCAGTGAGGCTTCTCTGTGGAGACTGAAACAGATGAATACAGCTTGGAAGTCCGTGGCTGGGAGTGCTCTGTGGAAGGCAGGGTTTCAGAACTGCCAAATGGCAGTTTTGTCATTGAGGAGCTTTCCCTTATACTGAAACACTTAAAGGTGTCTTATTAAGTAATCAATGTTTATTCGTCTGTAGATTTTATTAAAAATTTAGGTGATTCTTCCTAAATAATGTCAAAGTATTTTTTTAAAAACTTAAGTTTTTTGGCCAGGTGCAGTGGCTCACGCCTGTAATCGTAGCACTTTGGAAGGCCGAGGTGGGAGGATTGCTTGAAGCCAGGGCGAGACCAGCCTGAGCAAGAGCGAGACCCCTTCTCTACTAAAAATAGAAAAAATTAGCTGGGTGTGGTGGCGCATGCCTGTAGTCGCAGCTACTTGGGTTGCTGAGACAAGGATCGCTTGAGCTCAAGAGTTGGAGGTTGCAGCTGTGATGATGCCACTGCACTCCAGCAGGGGCAACAGAGAGACTCTGTCCCCTCCAACCAAAAAAAAAACTTCCTCAAGTTTTTTGGGGCGGGGAACCTGGTCATAGGAATATGACCAACTTCAGGATTTGGCATATATGAAGTGATACAGATCTCATCTTTTAGTATGTTTTTTGCTTTTGTTTTGTATGTTTTGTTTTGATTAACCATTATGCCAGTCATTGACATCTTTAGGAGGAAGGAGTTTAATTAGTTTTCTTAGCATAATTATTGTAGTGCTTGTGCTTAAAAAAGGCATAAAGATGAGATAAGAATGCTTCTATCCAGGCAGCTTTAAAAATGAGACCTAATGACCTCATTTGGTAGTCTTTAGGCCTTATGTCCGGCTCCTTTTCTTACCAGTGAGGAGTACATTTTACAGTTTTTAGTACCGTGGTCTATTTTGAACAGTTTTGAAAACAGGTGGCTTTAGTATCATTTATAGGACTTAAGTTTACTGCTGATTTTAAAAGGAAAATGCCTAGATTCATCAGAAAGCAAATGCCTTTTTTAAGCACGGAAAGGCATTTTACTCTGAGGTTGCCTAATTGCAAAAGGTGACATCACTTAGGAGTTAACATGTGGAAGGCGTCAGGTTGAATAGAAGTGTTCGTTATACTGATCTATGAGCTACAATTTCAGTTAACATTGAAGATTCAGAATTTGTCTTTTTTCCAGGAGAAAAACCATCACATTAATAAACTTGATTTTAAGTAAATTTAAATGTCTGTTTTACAAAGTGATTATTTTAATCCAGGACTGAAAAATATCTGATTGATTTACTGAAGATGATTGTTAGCTAGTAATGGTCGACAGTTGTTTTGTTGTGGTTTGGAGGACGACATGATAAATTATTTTTCAGTCTTCCAGAAAACTTTTCTCCTCATTCCTCCCCATTTTTTATACCCTTCCCCAAAAAAGCATTAAAAGGAAAAAATACCTCAGTGAAGTCAAACCTGGAGTCAGTGCCTTTATCCTCTCAGAGGTGCTTAGAAATACTGCCTGATGAAAAGGAAGAGAAGGAAATTACCTTTTTAAAAGTTTTTTTTTTTTTTTTAATCTTCTTCTGGTATCTTCTAAGTAGCAGAAAGAATAAAATTTTAGTTGTTTTGTAAGTTGCATGTTCCTCATTTTTTGCGCAGAATGTCCTCTTTCCCAGTAGGGCAGGAGGCATCTCACAGGCTCTGGGTCACTGTATGATAGCTATACACATTTACAGAAGGATTTTAGTCAAGTTTCGCAACAATAGATTTCCACAGACTGAGCCATATTTGGTCTCTGGGGGTAGATTATAGTACCTCGTGAACACCACCTGTCTGTTCCATCCAGGACCCTAAAATGGCCATAAAGTCAGCCCCAAACCCTCTTGGGGGGATTCTTAGTATTTGAATTTCATTTTCACACCCTTATTATGAATAGTGTTTTCCACTCTTTAGGCTGATTTAAGATCTCAGTGGCCTGCTCCAGTCTGAGTCTAGCACAGTGAGACAAGAAAGGGCAATGTCATGGTAGAGAGTCACTGAAGTTACGAACTCGATAAATTTTTGTTGTTAGTTCAAAATGATATTCTCACTTAAGTATTAGCTGCAATAGTATAGATTGCTCTTTGCTGTGGAACTGAAGTATACTGTAAAAGTTTTTTTCTTTTTATAAAGAATGTCTTGTTGCGCCGTGTTTGCTAGACTGAAAGTTTCCTCATCGCGTGGTGAGACCCTCCTCTAATTCAATCTTTGTCTTTTGTCTTTGCTGCCTTGCAGGGTTGGTACAGTAGGCTTCACTAGACTTAGCTGCAACTCAGAATTTCTCCTCCAGCACCTGAGTAAATGCTGATGGTCTTGTGGAGAGTGGATTAAGAGTACGAGCTAAGTTCTCAGTCCCAGTTAAGAAGCGGAAAATTTAAACTGTCTCCTTCAAAGTTTATCACAACCACCACCATCAAGACAGCAAACCAAAGGACAAAGACTTTGACCTGCTTTGTTGCTCTGTGTAGTCCGGTTCACGTATGGTTTACAGACTTGGCTGGGGTTACTAAAAAGTAAATAAAAAGTCGGACACTTCTGTTATTGGACGCTTTTATTCACAAGTTACCAGAATGAGGGCTGTACTGGAGACAGCAGACATTGCCATAGTGGCCCTGTATTTTATCCTGGTCATGTGCATTGGTTTTTTTGCCATGTGGAAATCTAATAGAAGCACTGTGAGCGGATACTTCCTGGCGGGGCGCTCTATGACCTGGGTAGCAATTGGTGCCTCTCTGTTTGTGAGCAATATTGGGAGTGAGCACTTCATTGGGCTGGCAGGATCTGGAGCTGCAAGTGGATTTGCAGTGGGCGCATGGGAATTCAATGCCTTACTGCTTTTGCAACTTCTGGGATGGGTTTTCATCCCGATTTACATCCGGTCAGGGGTATACACCATGCCTGAATACTTGTCCAAGCGATTTGGTGGCCATAGGATTCAGGTCTATTTTGCAGCCTTGTCTCTGATTCTCTATATCTTCACCAAGCTCTCAGTGGATTTGTATTCGGGTGCCCTCTTTATCCAGGAGTCTTTGGGTTGGAATCTTTATGTGTCGGTCATCCTGCTCATTGGCATGACGGCTTTGCTGACTGTCACCGGAGGCCTTGTTGCAGTGATCTACACAGACACTCTGCAGGCTCTGCTCATGATCGTTGGGGCACTTACACTTATGGTTATTAGCATGATGGAGATTGGCGGGTTTGAGGAAGTTAAGAGAAGGTACATGTTGGCCTCACCCAATGTTACTTCCATCTTATTGACATACAACCTTTCCAACACAAATTCTTGTAATGTCCACCCTAAGAAAGAAGCCCTGAAAATGCTGCGGGATCCAACAGATGAAGATGTTCCTTGGCCTGGATTCATTCTTGGGCAGACTCCAGCCTCAGTATGGTACTGGTGTGCTGACCAAGTCATCGTGCAGAGGGTCCTAGCAGCCAAAAACATTGCTCATGCCAAAGGCTCTACTCTTATGGCTGGCTTCTTGAAGCTTCTGCCAATGTTTATCATAGTTGTCCCAGGAATGATTTCCAGGATACTGTTTGCTGATGATATAGCTTGCATCAACCCAGAGCACTGCATGCAAGTGTGTGGAAGCAGAGCTGGGTGCTCCAATATTGCCTACCCGCGCCTGGTGATGAAGCTGGTTCCGGTGGGCCTTCGGGGCTTAATGATGGCAGTGATGATTGCAGCTCTGATGAGTGACTTGGACTCTATCTTTAATAGTGCCAGTACCATATTCACCCTTGATGTGTACAAACTCATCCGCAAGAGTGCAAGCTCCCGTGAGCTAATGATTGTGGGGAGGATATTTGTGGCTTTTATGGTGATGATCAGCATAGCATGGGTGCCAATCATCGTGGAGATGCAAGGTGGCCAGATGTACCTTTACATTCAGGAGGTAGCAGATTACTTGACACCCCCAGTGGCAGCCCTGTTCCTTCTGGCAATTTTCTGGAAGCGCTGCAATGAACAAGGGGCTTTCTATGGTGGAATGGCTGGCTTTGTTCTTGGAGCAGTCCGTTTGATACTGGCCTTTGCCTACCGTGCCCCAGAGTGTGACCAACCTGATAACAGGCCAGGCTTCATCAAAGACATACATTATATGTATGTGGCCACAGCACTGTTTTGGGTCACGGGACTCATTACTGTAATTGTTAGCCTTCTCACACCACCTCCCACGAAGGAGCAGATTCGTACCACCACCTTTTGGTCTAAGAAGAGCCTGGTGGTGAAGGAGAGCTGTTCCCCAAAAGATGAACCATACAAAATGCAAGAGAAGAGCATTCTGAGATGCAGTGAGAACAGTGAGGCCATCAACCACGTCATTCCCAATGGGAAATCTGAAGATAGCATAAAGGGCCTGCAACCTGAAGATGTTAATCTGTTGGTGACCTGCAGAGAGGAGGGCAACCCGGTGGCTTCCTTAGGTCATTCAGAGGCAGAAACACCGGTAGATGCTTACTCCAATGGGCAAGCAGCTCTCATGGGTGAGAAAGAGAGAAAGAAGGAAACAGAGAATGTAGGCCGGTACTGGAAGTTCATAGACTGGTTTTGTGGCTTTAAAAGTAAGAGCCTGAGCAAGAGGAGTCTCAGAGACCTGATGGAGGAGGAGGCCGTTTGTTTACAAATGTTGGAAGAGACTCCACAAGTCAAACTAATACTAAATATTGGACTTTTTGCTGTGTGTTCGCTTGGAATTTTCATGTTTGTTTATTTCTCCTTATGAACTTAAGGATATGGTGAGACACTAACTTAAGAAAATACTGGTCTTTGGAAAAAAATTATGTATGTCACTGTTGATCTCTCAGGCATTGTTTACGCTGTAGGTTTTAGCCAAATTTTACTTAGCAGAAAATCATCTATTTGCGAGACTTTATTTTCTCAGAGATGGATGAAAGTAAATTTACCTTCAACTTAAATGAAACAAAGCTTAACAGACTGAATTGTGCAAATGTGGTTTAAAATTTTGCATACCAAAGTAAGGAGAGACCAGTTATTCTCATAGAGCACTTAGAGCAGAATATATGTTAGGATACCATGAATAAGGTATACTGTCTGCACTGCCCAGTCTTGGCAGACCTTATCCTGAAGTAGAAGATTTGCTCATTTCTAAGTTTTTTCTCTTGTCTCTGTAATCCCTACTATAATTAAAAGAAAAAAAAACCTGAATTGTTAGACATTGTACAATCAATTATATACTGAAAAACTTAACCGATGCGCTGGTGTTGATACTTGTTTCAGGACAAGTTAGTTCGCAGGTTCATTTTGTTAGCATGAGCCTATCTATGGATTCTGGATTCTGATTGCCAAAAGAAAGAATGTTTCCTGTAGGTATTTTTGTACCACCAGTATATGGAATGTTGGGGAAAAACTTTGTTCCGGTTTGTTTTTCTTTTTTCCTGCTTTGAAGTTTAAGTGAACTATACTCAAATGCCCACCAAATTTGTGAAGTGACATGTGATTGTACTGTCTAATAATGACGGGGAGAATATGAAGTGGTCTTGCTGGTGGTCCTTGTATTTGTCAATCATGTTAAGTTTGTTTATATACTTTGGGAATTACCAGCTCCCAAGCAGTGTTTGATTAACTTATGCTGAGAAGATCATACTCCTAATTTTCTAGCTTTGTTCTTGTTATTTGGTAAAATTTTTTATTAGTCTAATGCCTCCCCAAGTGGATCCAGCTGGAAGATATGTCCAGAAACCTGGAGAAAAATTGACATTGCCTTTGTGTGTTGGGTTGCTCTGCTTCATTAGATCGTGATTTTGAGGTAGAGTTTTTATTTAGAAGGAAAATTTAATTCTGATACCATATTGCATTCTTGATAAGACTGGCCATCTGTACATAGCCTCTACATTTTTGTTGTTCTAGTGACTTAGAGCAGGAAGATGTTTGAGTACAAATTGGCCATCAGTAACAGAACTCAGTGTACGCTTTGCTGTTGGAAGTGTGTCAGTATAGTCTTTCTGTAGGATGAATAGTATGTTTGAGAGGTGCCATGAACAAGAACTCCTGGGATTAGTTGTTTCTTGTGGAGGGTATTATAGGACTATTTAATTATAGGACCCTCTATCTTGACACGGCTTGGTACCCAGTTATAGTGTCTATGGGCAAGAATCTGTTATTCACAGGCTATTTCCCCTTCGTGAGAACAGGGTACAAAAGATGTTAGAGAAAGGCTCTACAGATTACGTAGTTCTGTGTCCCTGTGCGCTCAACATTGTCCTTTGTCCTCCATAAAAGATGAAGGAAGCAAATTATGTATCTACTTTCTTTGGCTTTCTTTAGTCTCTGATACTTTTTAAATTGCATGATTTTATTAAGCTTGTATTCTTTAGGGAAAACTAATTTTATAGATAATTTTGTAGATTTTGAATCAGAACTCAGTCCTGATGACTTTAAATTTTTTGTAGTCTACAAACTAGTTTCATTATGGTGGACTTGATTAGTCCAAAGTTGATTTTAGAAATTATCAGGTAGCATATTGTCTTCCCATCTTCAGTAGGCTTTCTGATGGACTGAGTCTGTAGATGAAAAAGTTACTCATGTGTGAATAGCATGTATTTCTGAAGAGCTTAGAGTGCCTTGTAGAGTTTTTTCTCAATTTCATTCTTGAGGTTATAACATGGGGGCCAAATAGATAGGGACTGTCCTTTGCTTGTATGGAGGTTGAGGCTGTGACATGTCCAAGGTTAAAAAGTCGTATTTGGGAAGAACAGTAACCAGGTCTCCAAATCTGGACTCATGGTTTGTCCAGAAATGTCCGGACAAATGGTCTGTCCATGTTTTGCCCTGTTCTTTTCTCAGAGGAAGTGTTCTTCCTTTCAGACAACCTTTTGGTATTTGAGAAAGTAATTGGGTCTTGGTTTTTCCAAATTGGCATTAAATTGTAGGAATTAAAATTTTCTTTGACCCTGAACACATTGCCATGTTAATTGAGCAGTGAGAATTGACATACTGCCTGGGCAGCCTTCCTATCTCTTCTGTATACAGCATAAATGGATAGGAGGTGTTTATGTGGATTTTTTTCCCCCTTTATTTAATGCTGAGTTCTAATAGTTCAGAGTATTAGGGTCCCCCCACATTCTCTCTGCTGTTGTCTTAGTAAGATTCATAAAGTGTTATATATCATCTTGGGTCTATTTGTGTGTATATAGCAGTAGGTCAAGTTTAGAGTACTAATGTCTGTAAATAAGGAATGACTATTAGCATATTCATTAGAATTGTTTATTCTTGCCAGTGTAAACATCACTTTATTTAGACTGAAGTCCCTGAAGCTTGTCCTTTTTATTGCTTCCCAGTAATAGATAATGTGCTTGAGTAATAAGTATGTGAATTACGAATTGCAACTTCATTTTAGGGGCCAAACTTCAGTCTATATTTCATTAGAATGATTGTTCCTGGAATGATACATGGACTGTCTTAAGCTAGCAGAATGTTCATACTTTTTACGTTGACTAAATGTGTCCTAAATGATGGCATTGATCTCCAGACATTAACGTGTATATTTTTATATTAGCTCAAGCTAAAGTACAGAATTGACTTAAGAGTGATATTGACTAAAATAGTAGCTAAAAGTCAAAATGAGGTGAGGTCATTGGTCTTCAAAGGTAGAGGAAAATACTGTCTTAGCAGTTGTTAATGCTATCCCCGGTTCTTAGATTCTTGTCTTCTCAGGCGATTTTAGTCTGAAGATCTGTTGAGAAAGGCTCATTACATTGGTATGTAGAATGATTATTGGCTCTTTATGGGACCTCTAATTTCCCTGGTCATCTAAGAATATTCTGTCCTGCCACCCCAGAGAGAAAACAGTTGAGCCAATTTCTTCTTTTCCAGCTATTCTATTCTTTCCCCAGGGAGGTTATTTCTTTTTGTCTTTAGATTAGAAAAGCATCAAGCAATAGCAGTGGTGCTGTGTCCTTTGGCCTAAATTCAATAGCTCTCATCTCCCAGGGCTTCCTTTTCACTTGGCTCAAAGGATCTGTTGTCTTTTTGCACAAAGAGGCTGGCCAGGATCATGTAGCCATAGCTGTTAGGGAGGGATGATACCCAAGAAATTAGCGGGGACCTGTTCTCTGTGAAAGTTCACATTTGAAGACCTGAGTTGGGAGGGTTGTTATCCAGTTGTCTACCTTGAGGCTGAGCAAGGGGTTAAAAGTCTTGTCAGGGCAATTAGTCTTTTAGTTTATGTATTTGCAGTCCGAGGCTTTTTTGTCTGTCCAGTTACATGGCTCTTCCCTCTCTCTTTGAACACATTTGGTGTAGTCTAGGGGTTATTCTTCACCACCAGATAAACCAGCTGTGTTGTTAGCTATAGAAGGTTAGGTCCTTCCGTGTTCCCACTTGGCAGCATTAGGCTTACTCAGTCCCTTGTTCTTTGCGCCTGTCTCATTTTCATCTGAGATGTGATGACTAGAAAGGAACCACATGGGTATCCAGTGGTGACACCTCACCAATCCCTAGGTTTGGGTTGAGAGAAGATGTATACAAGACCATTCCTGTTAAATTATGTGACTACAGTGACTTGCCAGGCCAAAATTTTCCCAAGAAATCAGAAAAACTGAGATGCTGACATGAACCTGGATGATACAGACATTAATAAGTTGTTAAAAGACAAACTTAGCTTAAAATCCACAGATGTAGAATCATACTAATTGGATTCTAGAACTTGAAGCATCTTGGCTCTCAGCTAGTTTAAACCCCTCCCTCATTATAAATTAGGGTATCAGTGAATAAGATCCAGCTTGGTAAACCCTGGTTTGATGTTAAGTATTGTAAAGTGCAAATCTTTTAACACATTAGAGATTTAAAATGGCTATTTGATAGTGATAATTTAGTAGAAAAATGCTTTTAGGGTTTAGTATCCATAAGATTCTCATTAGCCAGGTGCTAGGTTGCTTAAGTCATTTCAATGTTGGTATCAGGCTGAGCAGACTTTACAAATGAGATACATTTCTCTGTGTGTATACCTGCTTCCCATTCAGAGAGACTGGTCTTTCTCTTTGTCTTCCTTCACATTCCTGCTTTTTTAGTTTTTCACTTACTTCTTTCAACACTTACCGGATTCTTATTTTGATCTTTAGTCAGCTTGGTTCACTTTCAGGCATATTGTAGTGTGCGAGAGTGCCGTTTTGCCCCAGTATTGAGGACTTAGATCTAAATAATGATTCCTTAAATGCAGTTTAAATACACTAAATTTCTTTTAGCTTAAAATGTTAATTCTTGAGGATGATTTTCTCAGACTTTGTGTTGACTAATATTAAAATCACTAATAGTTCATCAGTATCTTATTCTCAGAACTCTGTTTTCAGACATGGAGAGAGCAACAGTGAAAATTCATACTAGTCCCTTTGGAATGATGGTGTCAGGGTGCAGAGAGGCAATGGAGTTTTGTTTTGAAGACAAAAGGACTTGTTCCTGTAGTAAGTAAAGGTAAAAATTTGGCATATAGAGAAACCCTTAAACCCTTTCATACTAGTAGTAGGTATGAAGCTGGAAGTAATCTTTTGATTTTACTAGATTTGGTTGACTTAACTCAGGGCTGCAAATCCCTTTTCCTCCATTTAAAGTCACTTCTCTTAATTTGGAATGTTTTTGTCAAACTCTCCCCTCTGCTGGAATACTCTGGCTGTTCAGCTGCTTTGACTCCTGGGAGAGATTTAGCTGAGGTTCAAAGTAATTAATAGGCTTTGCCCATGCTGAGTCCCACACCATAATTCACTTAGTCATATAAATATTTTTATTTAAACTTCTCTCTCTC